AATAAAATAATCAATTCGAGAGTAAGATTTGTGAACTTGAGAAAAAAAAGAATAATCCTGACCAGTAGGATTCAGTAATCTCCGTACATCAACAAAATTCATGGACTTAATAAGACTATTTAGAACCCCAACAGACTGGATAGGAGAAGGAACACGAGCTGAAGAGCGGTCAAGATAAGAATCTAAATAACAATTAAAGTCTCCCGCGATCACTGCGTTAGTAGCATTGGTATCTGGAAGGAGTCCAAATAATTTCCTAAAAAAAGCCAATGTTGGGCCTATACACATTAACATATGTGATAGTAACACTGTTAATACAGCCCGATACAATAACTATATCTGCCCCCTGGTTCTGATATTACTGAATGAGAGCGAAATGGAATCGACTTTTTGAAAAGAATAGCCACACCTCTTGCCTTGGAAGAAAATGTTGCTTGGTATACTTGAGAGATCCAATTTGCCCGCAGTCTTAAGAGTGGAGGAACTATGACGTCAATTTGTATGCAAAAACCCGGAAGCGAGTTAGCATTTTAGCAGTTCCGGTTCCCTCGTCCCAAAGTAAATGGGTTTTTTCAATGGGGTTTCAGTAAAATCGCTTAAATAAGGTTTGTGGCTAACACAAACTCAAAATACTTTCACGTTTTATTCTACAACATAAAACACATCAGTTACAGCACACTCTTGAATTTTTAAATCGGTTATGCTTCTTTAAAAAGACCGTTGCTATCAAGTTGCTAAATGGGACTACAGGCATTGTCGGAGACATTATACATCATCGAGCTGAACTTATCTGGAGCGCGGCTGGCTTGTGTTGAGCATTTGGATTTGTCTGTTATTTTAGGTGTTTTCATGAATAGTATTTTATAGTTTGTAGTGTTTTTCTAACTGGGAATTCAGATTGTGTGTAGATAATTCTTTCACTTGTGAAGGCTGTCGAGACAGATTCATTTGTTGATAATTCATTTTAATTAAACGATATTATGAAGATACTGCTCACCAATGCATCCTGTCTCTCTTCTGCCCTCAGTAATGCAAACGTGTGAATAAATGTGTAAAAATACATGCATGTTAATTGTCATTTTAACGTGATCAAGTGATTTTTCGTCGGGTTTTTTCTTCATCTGAACACATTGAACTCTGTCATAACTGCAATATTTACACTCCTCCATAAAACGTATTGTAGATGTGACTGTATGGGCTGCTTTTCACTGTACTTCGTGACAAAAAAGGAATATTGAATGTTGATCTGTGTCCATGATGATGGAACTAGCAGGCATTTGATAGACTTGTTCCTCCTCACGCCTCATTTCTGTCGTCTGTTAAGGTAAGCAGGCTGTGTGCACGCGCGCGCGATACACTTATTTAAATGTCTTATGATAATACTATATAGGCAGATTTATACACGCAGTTTTAAAACTTTTAGAACAACCGCAAAGAAAAACAGATGTATTTCCTACGTAAAAACGGTCCAAAAGGCACGTATGTCTTTGTGTTTTTGCGTATTTATTTATCTATAATATATACAGTGGATTATAATATTATAAACAGAGAGATTAACTCTTTTTCATGGACATTATTTCTAAAAATAAGCTTGATAAGTCGTCTGTAGCAGGGTAGGGCTGACGTCACAGGCGCACATCCTGAAGGCACTGTAGTCCGTTTATAGCCTAATGTTAGCTTTTCAGTTCTTGCGTTTGCATTTAAGATCCAAAAGTGCTCAAAGTTGTATTTTCATGTGAGGATTATCCGGCTTGACAAAACGTGTAAGTGTAAAGAACTGTGTTTGAACACAGAGCTTATTATTTGCAATCTTCGAAAAGCCTATGGGAAAATCCTATAGGGATTTTCACAAGGGAACCAGTTTTATGCTAGCAGCCGATTAGCCTACAAAGTGACGTCATAGTTCCTCCACTCTATTAGCTCTAATTTGAGTCTCTTGAAGAAAAATTATATCAGCTGATAAAGACTTTAAATGTGCAAACACTTTGCCAAGTTTTATCGGGTGCCCCATTCCTCTTACATTCCAACTGACAAAATTCACATTCATATTTTGTTTTTTCTAACAATCATTAATATAACAATCAGAAAGAAAACATCATAAAACCCATCCAGCTTATTTACATGAAAACTTATAAGTGCCGTAAACAATTGGTGCAACAAAAAACAATGTGGTAACAGCCCCAACCCCACCCCAAACCCCAGTGCAGAACAGCATTTTCCCCCCATCTTCACGGAGCCAGCAAGAGGACAAAGCAAAGAGCACAAATCTTACCTAGGACCGTTAAAAGAAAAAGCAGCCACACAAATAAACTTAAAAATAAAAATAGCAACCTTCAGTAAGGGAGAGAGAGAAGAAAAAAAACTCGAGAGGGTCCACTCTCTGCAAATAATGTTATTAGTCCTCTACCTCTCGTGTCATAGTCATTGGTCCATGAGAAGAAAAAAAAAACTATCAGTCTAAACATCCAGGCGCGATGGTCATAGAACTTCCTGACCAGGGATCAGATCGAAACATTAGGAAGGACATCAACAAACTTTTTTGCCTCTTCAGGAGATGTGAATGACATCGACTTTCCATTATGAGTCAACATCAATTTTGCTGGAAATCGCAGCGACCATTTCACGCCAGCTACACGTAAAGCTCGCGTGATCGGACCAAAAGCACGACGCTGCGCAGTGACCTCGGGAGTGTAGTCAAGAAAAATATATATCTGGCTGCCCTTGTACTTCAGCGGGAAATAAGAATTAAATCTTTGTCCCGATTATGATGAAGTCTTGCAATAATTGTGCGGGGTCTTTGACCCGCAGATGGCTTTGGCAGAAGGGATCGATTTTGACGGGCTTTGGAAAATGTTCGTTGCTATAGTTCAGTAATCACGTCCGAGATGAACCGAAGTGCTGCCCTGTTCCTCCCCTTCAGTTATTCCAACGAATTTTAAGTTGAGCCTTCGAGATCGACCTTCCAGGTCATTCAGCTTAGTCCATAATGATTTGTTCTTAGCTTGCAGTTCCTGGCACTTTTTTTCAGTTTCTCCGACGCGTCGGTCCACCTCATTCAGTGCTTCTTCCACATCCACTAATTTTAGATTAAAGCCAGTTTGTTCCGACTGCAAATTAGCCATCGCCACATCCAGTGTATCCAGCCGACCACTTAAAGCGGTCATCTTCTCGTCTATTAATTTCTTCAGATCGTCGCCTTGCGAGTTTATTGCAGCCAGTATAACACTCACATTTGCCTGAGGTAGAGTGTCACACGCGGCGATTTCATCCCTGACAGCAGTCACGATTTTTGAAGACTTTCTAGATGCCATGATCGAGCACGCGATGAATCAGGAAAAGTCGGCAAAAACACCCAAAAAGTTACGAAAATATATAAAATCTTACTTCCAACTATTCAGAATAAATCCAAGATATGACTGATAGTTATTAAATAGAATAAAGACACGAAAGATGGAGTTATATTCGAAAATCAATGTTATCAGAGAGCAGCTCAAAAAAACTCGACTACTCCATGCTTTCCGCGCATGCGCCCCCAAGTTCATTGAGAGATTAGTGAAGTTTTACTTCACTTGAGGTCAGTGTGATTCAGTCAATTTCACTTTAGTTTGATCTAGTTCACTTTATTTTAATTCAATTCAGCTTAGTTCACTTCATTGTATTTTAGTTCACTTGTGTTTCGCTCAGTTCAGATCAGCTGAATTCAGCTCACTTCCGTTCACAGCCGAACCAGCAACCTTCGTGTTGTAAGGTGACAGTGCTAATAACTGAGCCACCATGTCGCCCCCATTTTAGTTCATTCGGTTCTAATTTGTTGTTCCTCAATTAACATCAGTTAAGTTTGCTTAATTTTAGTTAATTTCCTTTTGGTTTAGATCAGTTTAGTTTTAGTTCAGTTCACATTTGTTGAGCTTAGATGTTTTTTTTTTCAGTTCACTTCGTTTGTTTGTTACTTTACTTATTTTAACTTATATTTAGTAAATTTCTGTTTAGTTCACTTCCTCTGTTTGTTCACCTAAATTCAGTTTGGTTCTGTCACTAAAAATAAAAGTTGGGTTCACTTAATTTCAATTCAGCATAGTTCAGATCACTTTAAGTTAAAGGGCACCTATTTTACCCCATTCACAAGATGTAAGATAACCCTTTGGTGTCTCCAGAATGTGTCTGTAAAGTTTCAGCTCAAAATACCCATCAGACAATTTATTATAGCACCAGAATCTGCCCATTTTGGAGTGAGGACTATGTAGCTGTTTTTGTAGCCTGTGGCTTTAAATGCAAATGAGCTGCTTCTCCCCACCCACTGTTTCTATGTGCGTGTCTGCTTTACCTGCATTACATCAGATAAACAGCAGTCAGTGATAGAGACAGACACGGATGAAGCTGAAATACAGCTTATTATTCAAAAATAACAAGTAAGTTTATTCCATGTATTTTTGGTGGAGTTTTGTTCAAGCCTTTCTGAAATGACGAGTCTCATACAAATGTCGTTTGCAGTATACACTCACAGACACACACACACATACTGTATAAAAATGTGTGTTTACTGACACTATGCGGCAGTGGTGATTTTATCGGTTAAGAATTACATGTCAATTTTACTGACTTTATTACAAACATGTTATGTTTTAAAATGTTATAAACTTATAAGACTTATAAAAATCACAGAGAATTAGAACTGTCAATCAATTTGGTGGGCAGGAAAAACCACACTCTTTACGTAACGTTGCGGTGGGCCTCAAAATCACTGGTATTTATGTCCTATTTTAATATCAGGAAATAAAAAATCAGCTTGTTTGGTTGATATTGCTCCAATACGACAGTGGGCAAACTATACCTACACACAGATCTGTCCAAACAGTTTACTAAAATTGATTTTCATCATAGGTGCCCTTTAAGTTAGAAAAATGAATTCTATCTAGCTTCAGCTTACTTTAAATACACAGAGGTTTCCTCATCATGAAAAGCAGCTGCTGATATTTATCTTTGTTCTTTCTCCTCTGAAGGTGATGATGATGAAGACGCTCCTATAATCAGTAGTTTTTCAGATGACGTTCCGATGGTCATTGCGTAGCTGGACAAACCTTTCTCTTCTCCTCCTTCACTTTCACTCCACAACCTTATCATATTTTCTTATGTGCTCATCCGGCACACCTTCAAGCTACTCATGACCCCTGTCACTTAAAAAAAAAGCTGGATTTGTGTTTCCAGACCCACAGGAAGACAAGAAAGCATGGAGCGAAAGAGATATTTTTGAATATAAGATGCACTTTTTTCGGATGTGCAATAACTTTTTTTTATATATATAATATATGTGGGTATTGGACATTGTAGGCATTAACTGAAGCAAACTGTGAAGGAGTTGGTCAGCTGATCAGCACACACACACCGACCCAACTAGGAAAAGACCCTTATTGTACAACAAAGTCTCACATGAGCATTACATTTTGCTTAAAGCCAAAACAAGCACCTAGATATGGGTACATCAGTGCAAAAACACACACAAAAGAAGAGTAAAAAAAAAAACGAAAAAGCTAACCTCACATGTGTACAGATGAAAAAACGGACCAATGAATGCTGACGAAAAGGGAAGCCGGTACATAGGCTGTTGACAGTAAATTGCACAGGATCAGATTTTTGTTCGCAGATGCTCGATTTGTGTCACTTTATGTCAGTAGACCTGCATTTGTCCATGGTACCTTGTTTACACTTTGTATCCATTTGTTAATTTCCACGCTCAGCAATAGGTTGAATTGAAAACAAAAATCATGACCTATTTTAGTTGCTTCATCAGCTGTTTTTGGAAAACAATGACCAACATTAAGAAAGTGACAGTTATTTGATTGTTGTCCACATGCTCGGTCCACAAAAAAACACCATCTAATGTTCACCATCTGCTTGTTTTGTTTTTCCTTTATCGTACGCATTTTATCTAGCAAAAAATAATCTTGCATATCCTGTGTGCTGCCATGGTTTTAGTCCTTTAGTGTTCTCAGGGAACTGGGTTAATGTTGATGTACCAGCGATATCAGTCACACTGCCACAGGCAGCGCAGTGTGTTGAACTGGTAGACTGTTGCGCTTGACAGTCTCTCCGTGAAGCCTGTGCAGAAGCTTCATCCTAGTCTCTTGTGCCAAGCTTAAGAAAAGCAGAGGGTAGAGCAAACGTCTTGCCTTCCCGAACGTTGTGAAGAGGTACATATGTTAAATTCATGTTTTATTTTAACTGGATTGCGGGTGTTACTGAACAGATTTTCTTGTTTTCTATTCTCTTGTATTGAGATGTCCAGAAAAAGACAAATGCTTAAAATCCACCCCCTACTTTTTCAAGGATTTTAAATGAGGTTTATGGCCAGTTTACATTCAAATGCTTATGGTCATTATTATTATCCCATTGTTAATTGACAATAACCAAAACATTTTAGTGAAGCCGTTCCTTTCGGTACCACATTGCCTTATTATGAACACACTGAGTAAAGTATGTAGCAGTATGTCAATGTGATCACACATGCACACGCTCACAGAAAACTGAAAGGTGTAAAAAGACTGTATAAAGACAGGAGTAGTGTGATAGGAAATGTATCGACATATTGTGAAATGACCACTGTATAATGTTTTAAAAGTTCCAGTGCAGCACTTGTGTGAATCCTGAGCCACCGTTTCTTTATTTTATCTTGTTTGTGTTCTTTACTCGCAACCATTTGTGGCAATATTTGTCATGCCCAGTTTGAAACCCATTTGTTTTTTGGTCAATAAGATGTAAAAGTTTTCCCGTAGCAGTGACTTTGGACACCGCCATGTTGAAATTTTTGATCTTGCCTGCCTACTGAGGGTTTTAAAGATACGAACATTTTAAGTGGTACAGTCTGAGATGTTTTATGAATCACTTATGCTGAAATAAATGTGGAAAACTGGTGAATCTGACTCCTCTTGCTTTGTATGTTTGTATAAATGCTTTGTGCTTGTTTATATCTTTCAGCAAATTGACTTGAAAACACAACGCCATGCATTATAAACATGAAAGGCCTTTTGTATTATTAAAAAAATTAATTGCATTTTTAAATTTTGAATATTTAACAGTATAATTAAAAAATGAATACAGAGCACAAATACTGAATAATTGAACAGATTCATTGTCTGAATTAATAAATATGACAACAGCCAGCAGGTGGCGGCAAGTCCCTTTATTAATGAGGGATTCACTGTCTAATATTTTTTTAATTATTATTATTATTAAAGAGGTAGATTGAATAAAATTACATACATATAGAAAAAAAATAAAACTAATGAAATAAAGTGTAACACCTTAAAGAGACACAAAGGAAGAATATAAAGATACAGTTTGTGTTGCTTTTGTATTAAAAGAGTGCTGGATAGTTTTCAAAAATTGGTCTAGGTCAATTTTCAACAGATCAAAAAAAGGTTTTATAGAGCCACTAAACTTCTGTTTGTGAATATGAAACTAATAAAAGCTAATAGATTACACAAATTAATTATATACACTTTTCCCAAGTTTTCTTTAACATTGTCAAACAATCCAAAAGAAATATAACTTTAAAAGAAAAGGAAAAGTCACTCATAATATAAGATTGAATAAACATTTCACTGTCCAATGAATCAAACCGATTCTTTTAGAAATGAATCAAACGGCTCTCATTGTGAATGAATCATTGAATAGTTGACTTCACTCAGGCCTACACGAGCAGCGTCTTCCTTCGGATTTGTTTGGATCATTTTTGATGGCAAAACAGCACAAATGTTTTAAATGTAAGTAACATTACGCCTTTTGTTGTTGTTAAACTAAACTATAAGTGAATTTGTGCTTATTGGGGGAAACGTGCACTTTTCCTCGTGTAATGCAACTAACTTAATTAAAAAAATCACAGACATGTAAAATAACTTGTATATTGCCATGTCTTGGATTAAATGGGAATTTATTATAACTGCATTGTTATATACTTCATCATCGTTCAGTAAATATTGTGTGCACTTTCTTTGGCTCGCAGATGAATAGCATCCATTAGCATCAGATGCGTTTATGGGCTTTATTTTTAACACTCCTTGGTTAACTGATATTAGTTACCGCGTTTATTTGAGTCTGCTTAATGCACATTATGTTGTTTAATGATTAGACAATTCAACACTGAACTGAGCTCTTTAGCATCTTTTAAAATCGTGAATGGAATGCGTGACGTGATCGGCGCAGGTATTTACAGGCGTTATTTTTAGAATTCTCTGTTGGGTGTTTTGGCGTTGGTGTAGTTGGCGGTGTTTTGTGTGGTTTGCGATTATTTTGATTACTTCGGCTTTGAATTCACGGTTTTTGACACTTTTTTCGGACTTGACTTACGATTTTGGATTGCGATTTTGGCTCTGCTTTGAACTCCCGGTTTTGACCCTTTTCTGCTTCGACCCTCGGCTTTGGACTTGCCCCTGATTGGTTCACCAATCACCGCCTTAAACATGGCAGTGTTGTCAGTTTGTGTAAGTATACGACACACGAACAACAAATTACAATCAGTCTACAAATACTGTTAATAAAAAGCTTCTTGTTTTATATTTAAAAAAATGTATTCCTCATATTTCTTGTTTACATTGACAGGTATTGTAATTAACAGACAACATTAGGTAACTTAAGGCAATTTTTGTTTTGCTGTTCAAATTCAGACTTATCAAACAGATTTAAAGTCACTTTCTAGTGTCCTGTACTTTACAATGCTCCCTATCTTCTGCTTTGTGCAGTTGGAAACACCGAGTGTTGTATTCGGTGTGCCTCTGAGTCACCTGAGGCGACATGGCCAAATGAGACAAGGCCTTCCTTTGGCCCTGACACACATGGTGCAGTTCCTGGACCAGCATGGTGTGTATTATTCACATCACTTCACTTTCTTTTATATTCTAAGAGCTTGTGTTTGTAAAATGTGTATTTGTTTAGGCCTCAGCATCAGTGGCCTCTTCAGAATCAGCGGGAAGGTGAAACAGTACCAGGAACTGAAGAAAAGTTTCAACGACGGAGCCTTCCCTGAGTTTGACATGGAGGATATTCATCCTTTAGCCTCCTTGTTGAAACTTTTCCTGAGGGAACTGCCTGGTGGTCTCATTCCAGAGTCACACGGGAAGCAGCTGTTGAATGTGTTCAGGGGTAAGTGATGAGCAATCATTGTGTGTACTTGACATACAACAAAACTGACACAGCAGTCATCTTGAAATCTTTTTATCATGCAGATTCAAAAGAGGAAGAACGCAATCAGTCCATGAGAATGATCCTGAACACACTTCCAGAGGAACATTTCAACGTCCTCTCTTACCTGTTGTTCTTCCTCTCCCGCGTGGCTGCTGAGAGTCAGCAAAACCTAATGACACCAGCGAATTTATCAATAGTTTTTGGACCCACCATCTTTCAGTAAGTGTTTGTATTTGTGCATTCAGCTGATAGATGCAGTTGTAAAAATAACATATTGAGGTGTCTAGAATTAACCACCATTTCTTTGACACAAAGACTCATAGACGTGGAGCTATAAGTCATAAAATGACTGGTGTAGTTAGTAAGGTGTTGTGTTTTATCTGTATGTGCAGTGTTCCTCTCAGACCTACAATGCTTGAAGAACAGGAACACTATAACACTTTGACTCTGCACCTGCTGGACAATATAACACATCTGCTGCCCAATATGTACCCTCAGACATCCAGCAGCAACACAGCAGTGAGTTAACACTGTGTTTTAAGAGTATATCATTATTTACGTTTGTATATGTATGAAAGATTGAAAAAATTACAATATATGTTTGTGTATTACAGGATGAAGAAGTCTTGACAAATGAAGAGTGTGTCCAACATCTGGCACCCACAGAACTCAAGTACACATGCCAAACACACACATCTACATGCATTATTAGCATTTTTGTCTTATTTGTTAGTCATTTTCATGTTTTCTGTGGATGTGTTTTCCAGATCAAAGTCACCTATCACTGGGCGACTTTCTCAGCTAAAGAAAAGACTGAGAGGCTTTTGGAGAACGATTTGTTCCTGCACAAACAGGTACAATATACAAGCAAAACACATTTATAAAACATTCATATATAAAACACTTGTGTCTGTTGGTGAAAAGTGAAAATATAAGGCTGATTTGTCAGATTACTATAATAAAGGCGAGTTGGTTTATTAATTGTATTTTTCATGCCACATAGCAGTGACACAGACTGAAGAGACCACTGCAGGAATGAAGGCCCAGATATTGGACATTCGAAGATACTGGGCCAATAAGGGGCATCTGAAAAGTCTGGCAATGGTGAGGGTCACCTGCAGTCATTGGGCATGGTGAGGGTCACCAGCGGTCATTGGGCATGGTGAGGGTCACCAGCGGACAATGGGAAAGGTGATGGTCACCGGCAGAAACCAGGCATGGTGACGAGAGACAGTGACACTGTGCTCTGGCAGACTCTACAATGTACATTTGTGAGAAGCAGTGATGCATTTAACTGTGAAAGTGAAATAAAACTATTTCTAAAAGCTGAAGTGTTGACTGTGTTTCTTTTCTCCATGTACTCTTCTTAGCTGAACAAACCAGTTGTGAGAACTAACCAGTGATGAAACAGATGTTTTTAACCTATTTAAATGTGTTTAGATGCCTGTGAATGGCAAATAAAATCGACCTGTGCAGCATATAGTGTAATTGAGTTAAGGTAAATATTATTATGTGGCGTATTCCAGGCGTTTAATTTTCAATCATCTTCAACTCCAGATAATTTATCAGACATACGACGGCGGATATAAAGTTTCCAGCCACAGGCCTCATACTCTTTCAATCAGCACCATCATGTGTACCTTTGTGACAAACACGAAGATAGACCTAAATAGCCTAAAGATTGGTGGAAGAGAGTTGTTTTAATGTCATTTTATTACACCTAATTGTAAGAAATTTCTGCAGACGATGTGTGTAAAACTGTTCAATCATGGAGGGTGTGATGAGGAGCCCCCAAGAGTTCAAGTCTGTCTGTGCGTGCATTTGTGTCCTTGGAGATGCAGGTGGCTGAGGTTTTGGTAACCATAGAAAAGCGAACTGCTGTCTGTGTATCCTGCAAAAGGCAGTGAAATGTCATTCTGCATGTCAATAATTTGACTAAAATATCAATACTCTCATCTTTTTACATTCGATTTGTATTTATTTCTTTTTAATAAAAAAAAGTTAAAAATCTCTGTTTTGGTATATTCCTAATCACAGTAGGCTATAGTCTTAATCGGATTAAAATCAGAGTACGTCTATTTGTGTCCAAGTAAACGTACTCATTGACAAAAAGAATTGGTATTTTAAGAAAAACCATGAATGAGAATTTAAAGGCCAGTTGAAAGAAACGGTAAAGTTAAAAAGGATTTATTTAAAAAAAAAAACTTTGTTTCCTCTAATTTATTAAGACACTTATGTAGCATGTTTTGAACAATTGTAATACAATCTATAATGAACATGTGCACACTGTTCTGGAATATATACATACATTCATTTATTAACCTGATTTTTTAATTAAAAGATTTAGTGTTTAGTGGGGTTTGATCCTGTGACCTTTGGTTAACAGCCCCTGGCTTTAATTAGTAGGCCACACCTCAAGAAAACTTAAATTAACTTAATTATTCTTAATTGCACATAATATAAAATAAAAGGCGTTTCTGAAAATAAGGAAACCAAAAGCAAACAGTTTGCTTGATTTCTCTGCCTCTTCTGCTCAGTGTTTATTGATGTGTGGGCTTTATTTGAGCCACAATTAGACATGTTTATAGAAGTGGAATGTCTTTATATGCGCCGTGTTCCTGTCTCTGTTTATTTGAGCTTGTCGTCCATTGTTTATCTTCACATCACACTCCTCCAGCACAGATGGTGACAAGACTTCTTTGCAGAAACCTAACCTGCATTTGTCACAATAATTCAGCTTTGACTGTAATTAAAAATGCATATAGAATCATGAGTCTGATGACGCTTACTTATAAACACCTTTGAGTATTGTGCTGAGCATCATCCTCTTTATGGCTTTTAAACTATAATAAATATATTAAATCCTTTGAATTATAAATAACATAAAAAAAGATTTGTTTAAAATGCTACATTATTTCAAATAATATATTTCCCACTCTTTGAAATTTTGTTGGTCACATTTTTTTTGATGGTCCGTTTGTTGAATTTAAGATACATTGCATCTACATGCCAACTAATTTTCTTTAGATTGTTAGTAGACTGTTAGGTTAGAGTTAGTGTAAGTTGACATATACTTGAAAAAGTTTCTTAGTCAGTTAAATGTCTGTTTAGCAGCAGTATCAACAAATATTAAGCAGACAGTCTACTATTACTCAAGTGAACCATCAAAATACAGTGTTACCATTTTGCTTACTTTAATTACTAAACACCAAAAAAATTACGTTAGAACAGTAACATTTTTTAAAAATGCATATAGTACTTAACTGTAAAATAATAAAGGACAGAGTCCTTTTAGCATAAAACGTGTAGAAATATTAAATACAATTAGAAAATATTATTGTCAATAACAAAAAGTGTGCCATGTATTTTTTTCAACTGTGGTAGAGATGAGAAATCTATATTAGGTGCAATAACTGTGATTTTCAGTCAAAACAAATAAAACATTATTTCGACCAAATGTTATTTACTCAAACAAACATCAGACAAGCTGAAGATTTACAATTCTCTTAATCCATACAGTAAAACACATTTTCTGAAAGCACATGAATACATGAGAGTTCTCATTCTCTCTCTTTCTTTCTATGGCCTATAAATATTCACTTTAAATCTTAAAATGTTTTACACGTGACAACGAATACTAATAATGCAAAAATGAACAAATTATGTGGATGAAATCTTACTATGGAGAGGAAACAATAATGATGTAAAATGCAGCTTCTGTTAACCAGCAGCAGATGTCGCTCATGTCTCACTTTACTCACTTGCAGATGAAGCTTCACATTTCATCTGTTTGCTGGAAAGAGCAATAAAAAAAGGGGAACTACATTTCCCATTACAGTATAAAATATGAAAGGCTCTAAACAAGCGTACTATTCTCTCAAAGCAGTTAACAGAAAACAGATTGTTTGTGGCTAAGCAAAAACAAAGAACAGCAACAAAAAAAAAATCATCGAGTTAAAATATATCTTTTATATACGTCTTTTAAAGTCAGTGTGAAATCAAAAATGTTCATATTGTTATTCTTTAGGTGAACAATTAATCGGTGCATGTTAATCCACAGACACACACACACACACAAAAATGTTTGTTTTGGTAATCTTCAATCAAAGTTTGATCAATTGCTTCCACATTTGAAAGAAGAAGCTCTGTTGACGTCAGTTTGGTGGCTTCAGCCACATTATTCTAACATCCCTCTTCGAATTACAGCATTGCCAAAATAAGTGAGCTTAGGATTGTTTCGAAATCTTTTTTGTATTTTATTAAGAAAGTATTGACTGGATCTATTCTAAATGATCCTTTGTAATTAAGTAGCTATTTGGGGTGAGCCGTGTATATTTTTTAACATTTAGAACCGATACAATTCCATTGAGAACACTAATAAAGACTTTTCCTTACGATGAGAAAATGTTTTGTTTGGTTTTGTTAATTGCAAAACAAAAATTTTACATGAAAAAATATTTCCTTAATCTTAATATCTTATAAACAATTTTTTTTGTACATAAATGTAAATTTACAAACCAAACAAATAAAAAAAATATATATATATTTTGCTCACTGAAATGCAGTATTACTTACAAAAACAACTGAAATTTGTAAATTATATAATCTTTTTCTTTAATGTGTGATGTATATACTGCTTCTTTTAATTTTTTAAAATGTATTGTTATTTTTTTAAATATATATTTAATTATTCATTTTCTTTTTGGCTTGGTCACAGCGGAATGAACCGCTGGAACTTATCCAGCACATGTTTTACGCAGCAGATGCCCTTCCAGCCGCAACCCATGTCTGGAAAACATCCATACACACTCATTCACACTCAAATACTACAGACAATTGAGCCTACTCAATTCACCTGTACCGCATATCTTTGGACTGTGGGGGAAACCCACGCGAACGTGGGGAGAACATGCAAACTCCACACAGAAATGCCAAGTGACCCAGCTAAGACTCAAACCAGCGACCTTCTTGCTGTGAGGTGACAGCACTACCTACTTTGCCACCGCGTCACCTAAATTTTATATATATATATATATATATATATATATATATATATATATATATATATATATATATATATAATAAAAAATAACTAAATAAAATAATCAATAAATTCTTACGGTCTCTTAAGCTAGTTTTTGTGCAAAAAGAAAACCCCGACCCCTACGCAATATTCGCTTCATACTGAAATAAGAATAGCAGGGGGCGGGGCTTTCTTTTTGCATCATTCCCTCTTAGAAACTAATGGCAAGAAAGGTGTGGTTTTCTGGCTGAAGCCATGATATCAACAGAGAAGCACTGCCACACCAAGTGGAAGCAAACGGTCAGACTTTGATTGAAGATTACCAAAACAAACTATTTTTCCTCAGTGGATTAAATTAAATGGATTGACAGATTAATCATTCATGTAAAAAAAGACTAACAATGTGTGTTAGCAAAATATTGTACATTTCAATTTCAAAAGACTTATAAACAACGTTACGGTATCTGTAAGACATTTAACAGCTGAAGAATACATTTGTAATCATTTCTTTTAATATTTCTCAAAGTTTTAATGTTTATTAGTGGAGCTTCTGTTTGCTCTCAGCTGTAATCAGAAATCTCCAAACATAAGCATAGTCAGACATTCTTCAAACTCTTGTACTGTAAGCTGATGTTTGAGGAGATATCCACACTTTATGTCACTAATGCCGTGTCCTGTTTGATGCTCGTAATGAAGGAAACTGATGTTCGCTGTCCAGCAAGTAAAGATCAGGATTGTTAAGTTTTACAACACCACTGGGACAAACAATTACATGAGGTCAGTGTGGTAATGGATCTGTGTCTTTAGAAAAAAGGTCAGAGCAAAAATGTCCAGCTCCCAAAATACATCCTCTGAAGACTAGAACGACTGTTGTTTATGTTCTTCTGACCCTTAAAATGCTGTCTATTTTGAAATGTTGTCAGAAATAATTATAGAATTGTTTTGAGAAATAACGTTATTTTTGTGAGCAACATCCAGGGGAGAAGAAGCGTAAAGATGACTAAAATGAGTAGATGTGAAATGAAGGGCCAGCAGTGGGAGCAGCAGCACAAAACGCACAAATAAAGTGTGGTTCACTCGAGCTCTTTATCTTGAAAGCTTTTTTTCCTTTCCTTGTTTGACCGCTTTTTGTGAGAGGGAAACTGTTTTGTTAGAGTGCAGTTTATGTTCAAGACTTTCATCGTTGGTTCATGTCTGAAAACTATTGATTTGTGAATAACAATGTCATGAACTCATATGTCTATATTTGTGAAGATAGCTGTTAGATATTTTTAGGTTTTTGCACCAAATGTTTGGCAGATTGTCTTATTG